AGCTTGCAGCCACCAGAATTGTGATTAGCATCTGAACAATACTTGCAATGAATGACCACACCATGCCTAGACAGCCTTGATCCATTCTTTCCTTGAACTTCTTATGGTTGTTTCCTCATAGACTTTGGTGGCCGATCCACTTTCTTCTCATACACTGGTGGTTTTACCTCAGGTCCATTTATCTTTTCCCACTCAGATTTGTCTTTGCAAGGCCATATGTCTACTATGTGTTGGTAATCCTTTATCTGCACTTAGAAGACACCCTGTCCTGATGGTGAAGCAAAACACATATTTGCAAACTCTATATTTTTTGCAATCTTTTTCCTAATCTTGGGACAGAAAGCACCTTGTATATCTTTTCCTAACTCTTACTGCTTGTTATAGTGTCTTATTATGAGTTGGCACTTTATGCTTTCCAGCATGCTAAGTATTAGCAATTCCCTAGCTTCTAGAATGTAGCTATTGAAGACCTCACAGTTGTTGTTCAGCAAAATGTCACATTTGGGAAATTCAGAGAAGTAAGCCCTTACCCATGTGTTACGAGGCATCTTCTTTAGCCATTTGTAGGCATCCTCATTCAAAGCTTTCATCTTCTCCATATTTCTGATCCACTGTTGAACTGAAGAAGACCTTGCACATGCCCACAACTGTTTTTTTAAGATTTCTCCTTTATACTTCTCATTGAAGTTAGCATATAAATGCCTGACACAGAACCTGTGTTCTGAATCAGGAAACACTTGCTTCACTGCTGGAATTAGACAAATTAGTTAACATATTTTAGTTAGTAACCCAAACAAAATCAAAATTAATGAGAAAATGAGAGTGTTTATATGTTAGCAATACCTTTTGATTATCTATCATTATTGTCCATGGGAATGTGTTGTCAATTTGCAGGTCTGCCTTCAAGGTTTCCAAAAACCATTTCCATGTAGCAAATGACTCGACCTCAACAACAGCAAAGGGAATAGGGTAGATGCAGTCATTAGGGTCCATACCAACTGCTGTAAGAAGTTGACCACCAAACTTGGTTTTAACATGATACCCATCAAGACAAATTATGGGCCTACACCCAGCAAGAAAACCCCTCTTGCAAGCATCAAGTGACATGTAGCAACTACTAAAGAGGCTACCCTGAAGGTTAAGGTAGAAAGAACTCCCAGGGTTACTCCTTCTCAGTTCATTTCCATAATCCCACAAGGAATTAAACTGTAACACCTTATCTCCATGAATAGCCTTCATGATCAATCTTCTAGTTCTAGCAAGTTTGCTCCTTGATGGTGTAAGGTTCCGGTCCTTTTGTACTGTCCTTCCAAAACTAGTAATGCTCATCTTGTCATTTGCTCTAAATGAATCAATGTACTTTGCAGCCAACCATTTTACAATACATCTCTTGAGCACCCACTCCTTCTGACAATTGTGTACCCCATAGTAAGTCTTAACCATAAAAGAGTTGGTCCTTCTGTCCAAAGAAGCATAAAGGTTCCATGGACAACCCTCAGCACAATGAGCCTTTAACCTTGCCTTCTCATTCCTTGGCATCTTAATTTCAACTCTATTCCTAACACTATACTTAGTGATGGCATCTCTAAAGCTTCTGGACATCTGCAAACACTAAGCCAACATGAAAGGCTGGATTTTGCATATCCTCCTCATTGAAAGATAAAAACCTCAGTCTCACATCACCTTCCCCATCTGATTCTGGAAGGTCCAAACCTTCATCATCTGTATCCTATTCATCACTTCCCTATACAGGTCTAGATATCTCTAGTGTCTTCAGTTTGCTGGCTTTGGCTTTCTTGTGGTCTTTAACTTGTACATGAGAAGTTACAAGGTCATCAAACAGATCTGTATCTCCCTCTTCTATATCATTATCACTGTCCCACAGCACATCATCTTCACTGTCAACAGCTTGATCCACCCTTATGTTATCCAAATTTGTGTAGAAAACAGGCAACTTTTCTTTAGGATTCTTCTCCACATTCTGCACTTTGCTTGGGCTGATGACCTTTGGTAATTCAGTCACTGGATTTGCAACAATATCATCCCAATCAACTTCCCTAAACATATCCTCATGAACAAAATTATACTATCAGATTTTTGACATCCTCTGCACATGTTGCCATTACATTGGTGTCAGTATCTAAAACTATGAGATGAAGACCATCTGCTAATGTCTTCCCTGGTAGTAGCCAATGTACCTTCAAGTCTTCATTGCTCTGGTAGCCTAGCTGCCTCCAGAAACCACAAAGGAGAGAATGTATCTGCCTCTACATGACCAAACCAAGACACCCTTTCATCGATGTATGATTTAAGATGCCCCAAAACAACGAAAAAAACACCATGGTGAATCTTGATTGTGAATTTGTCTCTACAACCACCTACAGATTGAACAAGAAATAGACCAAATAATGTGCTCTGCAGTGAAGAACAAAAATGACGAAACCCTAAACTTTTGTTCCAAATCGATGACCAGACATGGCAAAGTCCTGCCTTTCTACCTCATGTGCAACATCATAGCCTACCAAATCCAACGATTCGATGAGAGGAGGCACCGATCAAACTCACCGTACACAGGGGGAGGTGCCCCTTTCGGCCGCAACATCGCCACCATCCTTCGATCTTGCAACAGAAGACGGCTCCAATGTGATTGCTTCCTTCCAACGTCTTCTACTCCTAGCACGGACAGCCCCAACTCGCCATCGATCCTCCAGCCACAACCCCTTCGATGCCCTCGCCGCCCTCCGCCGAGGAGCACGAACAGACATGAACGGACGGAGAATAGTTTGGGGAGGGGGCTGATTTGTTTGACGTACGGGAGGGGCTAATTGCAATACGAGATGACGGTGTCCATGGGGTCAGCAGCGAATTGAGCCTAAACGACACAAAACTTGAGTAGTTGCTTTGAGAGTTCATGGACCAGCTTGACACACCCCAACAAGTTTAGGGACCGGCCGTGCACTTTGCTCTTTTCTTTTCTTAGCCCCCCCCCCAAATGTTTATTAGGTAACATTCTAAATTTTAACATCTAAATTAGAAGAAAAACACGACTATATTAGTACAGAGTACAAGTAGAAGTCTAAAATACTATAAAAAATAATTAATTTGGATTAAAAATGGATAAGGAAAAATACCTAAGGCCTGATCCCGGTGAACAAAACTGATCGGCTGATGTTGAATTGCTGATTGTCGTCGTTCATCGGTGGAGCCTTGGACCTAGAGGCCGCCACCGGGCGCTGTGTCCGTCCGATGTCCGTCTCTCCGCTTCTGTGGCGGCGCGGCCGGAGGCTCCGCGCGTCGCACAACTCCTCGTATCGCTCGTCGCTCGCGGACATCGTGGTCTTTGCGCGACTGCTCGGCTGATTGCGAGGTCATTAATTCGCTAATGGACTATAGTGCCGGGGTTTTGTATACCTAGGCTTGGACCTCTCCCTCATCTGTGCCCTTGGTCGTCGCACCCCGTGACCCTCCCCTAGGGCCGACAATGGTACAGTTAATGTTTCAGCAGACTTTGCGTTCAGCAAGTTAAGCGTCTCTAACAGTAGAGTTTGTTTGATAGTTGTAAGGTTGTCTATGTCACCAAGGGATTGCATAATAAATAACAAGATCTTCAAAACTATTATGATCCCACATATAATAGAGGTGTTACAGAATCTCTAACAATGACCTAAGACATGATCCATACTCTACTTTTTGGTGCTAGAGAAAAAAATCCAATAAAGCATCAACTCGAGTTTCTACTTTATGGAGACCCTCAAATCTTCCCTTTCAGTCCCATCTTCCAGGGGCGTGTAGGGAGCTCCCTATTTCTTTTCGGAAAATTTACGCCCACACGAACTCACTTTCGCACGTCTTTTTTCGTCCCTACTCTCCTGCACCGTCGCGCTAATCCCACGACGAAGCCCCTCGTCCCGGCGCTGCTCCCTCCCCGACGCCAATCCCATACTCTCCCTCGGCGAGACATGTTATCCGGTGAGGCACTCGGCCTTGCCGCGACTCCGTTTCCCTTGCTGTATCCGATGCTCCTTGCCCTCCTCCCCTCCTCTTGCGTCCCCATAGCTCAGTCGATTAGAATGATGGTAGATATAGCTGTCCCTCCTCTCGTGTCCCCATAGCTCAGTCGATTAGAATGATGTAGATATAGCTAAATGAGGAGTGGGTCACATATACCAGTGCCTACTAAAATAGATTCGAGGTTACGATTTGAATGCTCCTGTTGGAATAGATGGAAAAAAAAAACCTAGAGGCTAGACCACTTGGAGATGCCCTTGGAATTAGCTACTAGCTAGCTACCCCCTCCATTCCAACATAAGTGCATATTTCACATTTCGAGAAGTCAACTAATCTTATGTTTGACTATATTTATAGAAAACACCAACTTTTGTGTATCTAAATAGGTTTAATATGAAAATATATAGCGAGATTAACCTAATGATGCTTATTTGGTGTCGTGAATATTAGTGCTTTTTAGAAAATGGAAAAATCCCGACCTCTGCGAGTAATTTTTTTTATACATTTGATTAAATTTGAGTTGTTTTTTTATATATATGATTAATTAAACTTGAATTGATTGACTTCTTAATATCCGAGATGTGCACTTATTTTGGAAATAGCTTTCGCTAGCTTTTGTCTCTCTCTAGCCCTTCTCCCCTCCACCCTAGCACAAGATCTGACATGGTTGGCTTATAGCTGGCTGATGGTGGATGTTAGACACCATTAAGCGTACCTAATGAGCAAGCGGATGGCCAACCGATAGATTCCAACCGAAACAAGCAGAATTGCATCCAAAATCTTGCACAAGTTCAAGAAAGTGGAATTTTTACAAGATTCTGAATCATAATAACTTAGGGAAGAATTACCATAAATTAGACCTATCAGGATAAGTTGATAAAATGGACACCTTGTCATGGTTTTCAGTATGATCGAACCTACTATTACAACCGATATGTTTGGTGAACAACAAGAGCTACTGCCTGCCTAGCACATGATTCATCAGAACTCGTCTACCACGATGAGAAGGGAAGGGCCTGAATGGACGCGCCATCTGGGTTGTTGCCCTGCTCGCCACCGCTCACATGGTAGTAGTCATGGTGGTACTGCAGCTGCTGCGTTGCAGCTGCAGTGACCGGACCAGGAGAAGCAGCTGCAGTGTGACTAGGTGACGACGTTGTCAGAATGGATGCCTGCCTGCTGTCTCCCACCCTCATGTACGACATCCCGGTGAGGGAGACGTCGCCACCGCCGCTGCCAGGGAGCCTGCCGTACTGCATCACTGCGCCGAGGGGCTGCGCGGTAGGGATCATGGCCGTCTGTGCTGGTGTTGGGTTGTCTGACAGAAGAGAGAGAACACAATTGCCGTTGCTCTGCTTGCTGCTGCTCTCTGAGGAAGCCGTCGTGGTGATGGTGAAGGGCTGGCAGCCCAAGGCCGTGGCAGCCAAGTCACCGCCGCCATTGTTGTGGTTGGTCAGGAATGGGAAGTGCTTCCGGTCCTTGCCATGGAAGAGGGAGCCGGTGCCGGCACCGTTGAGGTGGACGGCCGGGTAGTACTGGTCTTGGAACACGTCAGTCTCCGTCTTGACCACCGACCATTTGGGCTCTTCCATGGATGTGGTGAATAGCTGTGGGTACGATGTGAACCTTGTGACTCCTGGACAACATGGGAAAATAAACACAAGTCAGATGTTTGGCCACAACGCCGCATCAACAACGAGGCAATGCATCAAAAGTTCAAAACTACACGGACTAAGTAAAGGGTGGTTGATGAGCAAATTCAAATGTCACTGAACCATCCATGGTAGAATCCAACAAAGTCCAATTCTTTCTGATATTATCAGTTCATTTCGCATTATGACTTTGACAAGTGGCTAGGAAGGTTCCGAGGAATTCGTGTGTGCAAGAATGGGACACAGATTCAGTGCCTTAGCTTCTTCAAGGCACCACGTACCTTAGCTCCTCATCTCTACCATACAGCATGCATCCAAGGGCCAAGAAAGGCTGCAAAGCTTCTTTCTCACAAGTAGTCAAGCAGCAGCAGCACAATGTTCACAAATACAAATTTATTTAACGAAGAAAGAGGGAGTTGTACTCCCAAATTATATATTTTTTACTGCTGCTAATACTACTCCTGCATACTCTTGCACAATTTATGAGTACTAACAATTTTGATATAGCTTACTTGCTAAACTAATAGATCTAGCAAAGTAATAGAAGAAATAGCAACTTTAAATTTTTCCCTTCTCCAACAGTCTGTTGTAATAATATCCTAAATGATTTTACATTGGAAACCTCTTGTAATAGTTTTCTAAACGACTTTACATTGGGAACCCCGAACTATTTTTAACAAACCAAACCTTTTTAATAATTTATTTGTGTCTCATTGCGTTCTCATCTAGAATCCATTATTTTCTTAATTTACTCATGCGTCTAATTTACTCTGGTCTTCCAAGAAAAACACAGGACGGGCTCGAGAAAAACGCCAGATGGGGCGCGGATACGGAGTTCCTCTCGAATGTATAAACTTATGAGTTGAAGATGATATTTAACAACTTTTTATTTTTTTAAGATGCCCTTTTTATCAAACTGTTGGAGGGCACCTTTTTTCTTTTCTTTTTTTTTTTTTGCTAAAAATGAAGCTAGGGAGTTATTTTACAAAACTTTTGAACATGCTCTTATTCTTCTTTTTGCTACCCTTTTGCGGAGGGGCGCGCAGCGCAGCATCCCCGGCGTGAGGAAATGGCTCTACGCGGGAAAGTCGCGTCTGTGCGCGTGACGCCGTGAAAATCTCCCGCCTGATGAAAATGGGAACCTGATCACTTGTGTCTGGCAGCCGTTGGATGGCAACTCTACGATGGAGAGAGGCAGCTAAGGTACGTGGTGCCTTGAAGAAGCTACGGTACTGAATCCGTGTCCGCAAGAATGCTATTAGCTGGTTTCAGATACCTATAGCCCCACAGCAGTTCAAACTTCACAAGCAAGCAGCTTCAGAGAAATTTTCCTGATCAATTATGACTATGATTTCATGGAAACGACCATCCAATCCAGGGCTAAATGAACTACGGTTGCTTTCGAGCGGTAGTCTACATTCATCATGATAGTGCAGGACTGATGGTAGGCAAGTTCCTTTTGGTCTCCTTTCTGGAAAGAAAAACTACACATTGGATGACAGCACCTGTAATGTGTGAAATGTTTGGTTGCATTACAGACAGTGCTGCCAGTCAACTGACAGGTGAGGACTCAGATCAGCACATGATCAATCAGATGTAAGATGCTGATTCCGTAGGTCTGATAAGCTGAGCTTCAGTTCACAAAACAATATTAATTATAAGGTGTGCTCCCAGTTGTGCCAGATAATGATCCAAATCTAAACACGCGCAACTTAAATAAACAGAGAACTGTTAAAAAAACTCTGCTTTCCTTCCATCGCTCTACAAGTGTTGTCAGCTCTAACCTTATGCCCAAGCTCTCATGCATACATGTACTTTCACATCTAGTAATTGGCATGCGTTCTCTCTAAAAACAAAACGGATTGGGGTGTCAGGAGAAGTGAATTTACCATGGTGATTGCCAAACAAGCCGGCAGGGTTGAGAGGGTCCGGCTGCGGCTTACGGCGGCGCCGGTTGTGTCCATCAAGGCGCTTCCTGCAGCTCCTCTTCGCCTCATCGAACTCCCCGAGCAAATGAAACCTGCAGGAAGAAGCAATTCCACCGACGGACGGTAAGGACTTTGCACGAGCACAATGTGGTAGCCGCCATGCTTGGTTGCATTCAGAAATTCAGAGTTCTAAAACAGCAAGTAGATTCTTAAAGAAAATGCTGTTGCATGCCGGTCCGGTCAACCTCATGGTATCAGCTACACTAATTCAAGCGAGCAGTTGGAACACACCACTGTTGACCTCAAGAAGACTTTTTTTTCTTCTTCTGAAACTAAAATAAACAACGCAACCTTCACGGCACGCTCTCTCTGTCTCGGATATTTTGAAACCTGACTGATGAATCTGGAATCTGAATGAAGACAAAGACAAAGAAAGGCAGCTACTGGGAACTCATCAGATCCTCGTCTTCTAGAACACGAGATGCATTTGATTGAGGCCTCTGAAAAACATATGGAATGTGGAAAGCATGGCCGCATGGGCAAGCCACGCACCACAACGACGAGTCGACGACAGGGACGCGCACACACACACATCGGAGAACAGAGGTGGTGACGGGAACTTGTTGTCCGGGTGAATGAGTGAGGGTGCCCCTGACAAGGACGGGAGGCAGGCATGGACCTGAACTGAATGAAAGTCCAGTTCCATTGCACCTGCCTTGTTGTATTGTAGGGACACACGCCCTGAAAGCACGGGTGCGCGCATGCAGCCGCTAGCAGCCGGCTTCACGGTGGTGTCACCACAGCTCACAAGATGTTCAGACCTTGACAAATTCAGGACCAGATGGAGAGTGCCCAGGGCAGGCTAATCGCACGTTTCTATCTATCTGCTGTATAGTAACTGTAAGAACAAAAGTCCGGCTGCCATGCTGAATTCTACTGCTACTGCTGTAAGTTTGGCCGTCCAAATCCCAGTTCCTGCAAGAGTTCCGTTCCAACTTTTGCATAAAAACTCGATCTTTGGTCGGCGGTTTGCAGTGTTTAGCAAAGCAGATTCCCTTCTACGTTTGACCGAACAACAGATGGATGGATGCACCAAGTCTTGGCTGCCGGCGCACCGCACGTTCGTGAGTTGCAAGCGCCAAAGGTTAATTAAAAAGACAGGAGGAGCTGCAGCAGCTGACAGCGAGTTCTTGGTCGCCTAAGCAAGCAGGGTCTAGTGGTGGTTAGTACTGTTGGACGTGGCGGTAATTCTCGACGAAATTCACCCCCACGCGGACGCGGACGAGACGAGAACGGAGCGAGTGCTCCCAAGAAAGAAAACATGCATGCGATGCGACACCCATGGCCAGGGCCATCCATGGGCGGCGACGAGCTGTTGTTGTACGTAGAGCAGAGCTCGTCGTACCAGTGGCTAAATTATTGAGGTGAAAAGAACCAAAATAGAATCATGAGAGCTCGGGGTCGGGGGCAACGGGAAGGGAATGGAATCCAAAGTTTAGAGAACAAGATGCATCGGCGGGCGGACGGGGAGGCGTCCGTCAGTACGCGGCACGGAACGACACGACAGGAGAGGACGAGGGCAGGGCAGACATGCGTACCTGCTGCACTGCTGGCAGAAGCGCTGCTGCTGGCCGGCGACGGTGACGACGGGCGTCTTGGAGTGCGCCTCGCAGACCTTGTGGCGGCGGTGGTAGTCGCGGCACCGGGACAGGTCCGCGTCGCAGCCCTGAACGGAGCACGCCGGCACCGCCTGCTGCGCGTGCCCCGGGCGCGGACGCTTCGCCGGCGCGGACGACGACGGCGCCGGAGCCGGTACCGCTGCCGGAGGCGGAGGGTTCGCTGACGGCAGCGTGGGCGTGACGGCGGCAACGGCGGCGGCGGCCCTCGAGCTCGTCGGCGCGCCCAGCTTCAGGTCCAGCGCGCCGCCCCCGCCCCCGCTGCTGCTGGGCCCGACCACCGTACCGAGGTCCCAGGCAGGAAGCATCTTGGCGTCCCAGTCCATGGCGACAGGCCGTCCCAACGCGCGTGTACGTGCCTGCTTGTTCTTGGGATCCTTGCTAGGTGTAGCACGTAGCAGCTCTCTCTCCTCGGGACTCAACTCAACCAGGAAGGCACCTCGCTTGCCGTCGTCGCTGGTGACGGCTGGCTGCTCCAAATGGTGGATTTTGGGAGGAGGCCTTTCTGCTCTGCTGCTGCCTGCGCAGAAGCAGGTCGTCGGAGACAGACAACAGCTGCGTACTGCTCGCTCACCCAGAGAGAGAGAGGACGGAAAGAGGCGGAGAGTACACAGAGAGAGAGACCCCAAAAGCAAAGTTGATTGCAAGCAAAAGCTTTGGAGGACGGGAAAGAGAGAGATCACAGCGGCGGCGGCAACAGCAACAGCAACAGCATGCAATTAAGAATCCAAGAACAGCAAACGCTACGGGGGGCCAAGGGAAGGGGATGAGACGAGGGCTCGGCTCGTGGGTGCTCTCTCACAGTGAGCTGCTTGGCCAGGCGGCCGGGGGCAGCTGCAGCGAGCGGTGGCTTAAGCTTTAAAGCGAGCGGAGGACACGGATGGATGGAAGCAAGCACCAACCCCGGCCGGTACGGTCCAAGAAAAGGGGGGCGGGCGAGGTGAGGGGTGAAGGGAAGGGAAGGAAGAGAAGAGGGGGGCAGCCAGGGCAGTGTCAGTGGTTGCAGACAGCACAGAAAGAGGACGACGGAGGGAGGAGACTCCTATTGGAGGACTCCAAACTCCAAAGGTGGCAATAATTGCCGAGAGGCGAGCTGGGGGCACCTCACCTCCACCTCCACTGCTCCTCACTCGCTTTATTTACCAATGGCAGTAACATTACACTGTGTGTGCGTGTGGTGATGTGTGGTTGGGGAGGGTAGGTGGGAGGGAGAAGGAATCAGACGGCAAGCCGATGGATGTGGCAAAAAGATTCAGAGAGACAGATAAAAAGGGAAGAAGAAGCAGCTACCACTCTCGAACAAGAAGCAAGCGGAGGACGGAGACGCTGAAACCAATGCAGTGAAGAACATCCACCAAGAGCAAGAGGGAGGATTCCCCCCTCTTTGGTGGTTGCTGCTAGCTGCTAGCTACTAGCTACTGCCTTTCCTTCGCTTTTGCTCCCTCAGCTCAGCAGCCTAGGAGTAGGAAGGAGTAGCTTTTGCCTGGCCTCCTTGAGTTTGAGGATTGGTTTCTTGCAAGGCTGGGTTGCAATTGCAAGCAAGGAAGGAAGCTAAAGTCACTGAAGGTTTCTCTCTGTTAGTTGTGCACCAGCAAATGGGCAAAGGCCATGTTTAGTTCGGCGGAATCGGTGCCGCCGGAAACACTGTTCATTATTGTAGCATTTTGTTTTTATTCGGTAATAATTGTCCAATCGTTGACTAATTAGGCTCAAAACGTTCGTCTCGCAAAGTACAACCAAACTGTGCAATTAGTTTTTGATTTTGTCAACATTTAGTACTACATACATGTACCACAAGTTTGATGTGACGAGAAATCTTTTTTTTACATAGTGTCAAAGTTTGAAATTTAGGATGAACTAAACATGGCTAAAGATGAGGAGAGCTACCACCACCAGGCACCAGCTGCACCATTCCTCTTAAAAATAAAAATATACTCGTTAACAGAGACCCGGAGAGGGGCTGATGAGAAGGACTAAACTTAAAGTGCAGGGGCTGCCCCTCCCTTCACCCTTTGTAGGGGGTGGAGGGCAGGGAAAAAGTACAAAAGTTGGGAAAGAGATGGATGCATGGAGGAGCAAGGGAAAAGGGGGAAGAGGGAGGTTACGCAGGCGCAGGGGCCGGGGCAGCCTTTCCTGCCTTCTTTCTTTTCTTCTTTTTCCCCCCTGTTTGTGTTTTTGTGCTGTGTAGCAGCTGTGCTATGCTACTGCTGTGCTGCCTCATGCCAGCTGACATGGTCATGTTCACAAATCACAACCAGAGCACCATCATAACACCCAATATTGCTCCCTGCACTCTCAAAAGTGCACATCCTGAAATGCATGGACCTATATGTCCACATCCACATAGACAGGCTTCATCCTTTGTTGCACTACCGTTCGGTTCCGAAAGGTTTAAACATTTGAGCATGTGGTTTCTCTTTTGTTCACAGTGTTACATAGTTTGATGCACAGTATATATAAAGGAACTGTAGGGAACGGTGCCAAGATGTGGAAAGCAAAGGTACCACGCATCGCAAATATGATAGTATTTTCTGAGATTCGCCTCGACTTGTACCGCGCGTATTTTTCAGCTTTTCAATGATAAAAGTACATGTCCAGTGCTTAAAATACGTTGAACTGGCGAATTGGCTTTCATGGAACTAGAACAAACCGTTATCTTATTCCTAGTTGTGAGCAACGGACGACTTTGTTTAAACCATCGCAAAAAAGTAAACATATTCTTAAAGCGCCTTGGCTGAAGTTCCATGGCCATGGGCTTATGAAGAATGTGCTGTACCCTACTTCCACCTTGTGTTCACGATGTGGTCCCTCTAGCAAAGCGAAGGCATTTGCGCCTTCTTTTGCATGTCACTAGTAGGAGCATAGTTTTATTCCCCTAATGAAGATTATTTATCTCCGCTGCCGATGCACCAACTATGAGCTATGTGAGGTCCAAGTTCCCAAGTCTTAATTAGCTAATACTGTGCTGTTTCGTTCCTAGCTTTCACACGTTGACCAATGGTCTCGTATCTTCTTCGCTGCAGTAATGTACTATTCTGAGAGGCAGGGTCAGGGACAGAACGTGTTTATCTTTGCCCCCACCAACACCTAGGTTTTGTACCACCCAGTTGGCTGGCGAGGGTAGGACGGTAAATAGGATAAAAGGTCTACCCTAGGTATGCAGCCGGGACCCAGTTTTGGTTGAAAGAGATATTATGAGGCAAATTTGGGTGCTTGTTTATCTTCTTTTCTAAGGGCTTTCAGTTTATCTTCTTTTCTAAATGTGAGCGAAAAAAAAACTAATTACACAGTGCTATCCAAACTTTTTGAACCTAATTAGTCATCTTACCAAATACAAACGAAATGCTACAGTGAGCCAAAATCCAAAAATTTTTGGATCTAAACGCACCCTAAGATGCTATCCAACATTTGTTCTCATCTTAAAAGACAACGTATAACTTGTTATATGGTTATCTAGATGACTTACAGTTCATAGATACTATATTCAACTATGGCTCATGTGTTCCGTGCCTAAACTGAACGAGCGTTGCTACAATTCATATGAGCACGGAAGGTGTGGCCATTTATTTAATATAATCATGACATGTGTTTAAATAAATTTGTGTTGGGATGGAACCGCATCCAAGACACCTGGACAAGTTACAGCTCGGGAAATTTATTCAACAATGGTATCATATGTTCCATATTCGTCTTGAAATCGTTTTTTTTTTTTAACCAAAATGCCTGGTCACGCTACTATAACTCAAGAAGGCTAGGGGGTCTATATATCGAATAATTGCATCATCATACGTTTCAATTCGTGTTAGGATTGGACTCTGCACCCAAAGGATCCTGATCAACGATGCATGAAAGTTATTGTGGCAAATAAAATTAAGAGGTATATAGAAGAATCATTTTTCTTTCTTATGTTCAAACTTGTCAGTGCGTTCGAACGTAATGTATAGTATAGTATAGCTTGTTACGTTGTCACCTGAACGACTTTGCGATTTGCATATGTATGCAATTATTGTACCATCAAATCTACGTCATGGAATTTGATTTTAGCTAAGCGCGTGTTCAGTCCCAAAAATACTTCCAAAAAAGTGCTACAGTACCCTTTCACATCGAATCTTACGATACGTGCATGGAGTAGTAAATGTAGAAAAAAAAAACTAATTACACAGTTTGGTTGGAAATCGCGAGACGAACGTTTTGAGCCTAATTAGTTCATGATTGAACACTATTTGCCAAATAAAAACGAAAGTGCTACAGAACAAAAATTCTAACTTTCTCTCTAACTAAACACAGCCTAAGGCCATGTTTAGTTTCCCCAAATTCTTGAATTTGGCACTATAAAAAAAAGATTCCCCGTCACATCAAACTTACGGTACATGTATGGAGTACTAAATGTTGACAAAATAAAAAACTAATTGCACAGTTTGATTGTACTTTGCGAGACGAACGTTTTGAGCCTAATTAGTCAACGATGGAACAATTATTACCAAATAAAAACAAAACGATACTGTAGCTACAGTGTAGCCAGGAAATCCGGCGGCGCCAATTCCGTGGGCAACTAAACATGGCCTAAACGTGCCCTGGCTATAACCTATCTTATATTATATGAGTACAGGTCATGACTCAGAGAGGTGCGTCATGGTTTTTTAGGAAGTCACAGGTATGGGCCCGTTCGGCTTAACTTATAATTCGTACTATTCAACTTATTTTTTCAGTCAGAATAGTATTTTTCTCTCACAACAGTTTAGCCAGACCAACGTTTTTTAGCCAATTCAGCCAAGTTTTATCAAGCCAAACGGAACTATGATGGTCAAAAAAATACTTATTATTATTATTATTATTAGGGATATATGCGCAGTGCATTCAGCAAGACCTGATGTACAGTGACTCAGTGAGTGCGCACCACAGTACTTTACTTTGGCCCTTGAGAGAGATACAACAGTAGCAGCTAGCGTCGGTGCTGTGGGCAGGGCAGCAAGAGACATGTCAGAGATGTGGACGCGCACCATGGGTTCTGAACAGTCTGCTGCTGTGCTTCCATAGCCAAATTGCCGAGTACTCCTGTACTAGCAATCTACAGTGAACTTACCACTGCTGGGGCTGGGGTAGTATGAAGCCGTAGATTTTACTTGTACAAGTATAGAAAGAGAGTATGTAGAATCTGGTGGGAGTGGTAGGCTGGCAGCCAACAATTTACCTAACATGGCGTGTCTTCCCTTTGACCGTTCGTTATACAATAGTAACAGCGAGCGAAACGTGGTGCAGGAAATTGAAACCGAATGGAATATGGCCACCACCACCCACCGTCAGCACTCAGCAGCACATTTGAAAC